CTCTCTCTCTCTCTCTCTCTCTCTCTCTCTCTCTCTCTCTCTCTCTCTCTCTCTCTCTCTCTCTCTCTCTCTCTCTCTCTCTCTCTCTCTCTCTCTCTCTCTCTCTCTCTCTCTCTCTCTCTCTCTCTCTCTCTCTCTCAAGCTAATTGTGAAGAATGCAAAACACATATAGTTGAATACGGTTATCGGAACAAGTACATTCGGTCGTGTGTAATTCTCTCTCGGTACGCTCTCGCATCGCAGATAATCGTGCCTCATGTTTTTATCTCTGCTCTTCCTCCTTCCTATAAAATTATCTTGATTTATCGACAGAACGCGCAGATCTAAGATGCTTGCGAGAATTTTATCATGATATAAAGTAAAGAAAATGCAGAAAAAATGTATACAAAATTTTAGATCTGATAAATCGTTTTTTCCTGTCTTAAAAATTTAATTGCCATGAAAGATTTTGTTGCCTCTTTTCCGCAATGCTGATTCGTTATTTTGATGCGTTATTTCGCGCTTTCGGGCGGTTGTCATTGCGAAAATTGCATACTTTGACAGTTCACATCTTGAGAAATAATTAGTAGTTGGCAGTATATTACAGTTATATATATATATATATATATATATATATATATATATATATAAAAGAAAAACTATAGGTTTTTTTACTTAAACATTAAGTTTTACATATGATTTATACGGCTTGCGGTTAGGGCAGGTATTTTTTTTATATTTTACGGAAAATATTCAGTGTTTTTTTTAATCTTGTACATTTTCATACATTTTCGAATTCTTTGTTTAAATTCTTTCTGGACCCCGTCAAAAGACGCAGCTCTATTGGTTTAATACAAATGCTCGCTCGAAATGTGGTCTGATTATTTATCTTCGAATTATTCTGCACTATATATTAATGTAATAATAACCTAATCACAAGTTTAACTAATTTTTGCACGTGAATAACAAAATTTGTGTTAAATAACGCTGTATTTGTATGTAGATTGCGACAATAATGGTGGCATAATAATAATATATAAGAAATGGTGATATTTTAATATTATTTTTATTAAAGATATAGTTATAATACATATTTCTTTGTGATTGACATAATAAATAGCGCAAATAGCGCGCGCTGGTGTGTCTAGTATCTATAAAATTTAGGATCAATATTATTTATTTCGCAAAATTGACTTCAGAGTAAACAAAGAATCTGTATTTAAAAGATGGCTGGATAGATCTAACAGTAAAACATGCTGTATGGCCTGCTTATTTTTATCTTGGAAACAGTACGTGTGCATCACTCCGACTTTCATGTATTCCACAATCAAACGATGTCATCAGAAAAAATATTCACAGTTGTATTCATGATTGAAAATCTTCAAAAGAGAGAGAGAGAATCTCGCTTTGCATGACAAGTTGTACAAATACTAGCTTTGTTATTTTCAATTGTACTTTCTTTAGGTCTAATGTACACGTTATTGTATTCATATTGCATATGCACATCGATATTTACTATTGATATCTTTGATTAAAATTTTAGATTTGAGTATTTATCATTTTCGGCTCTGTTTTGCAACACATCTAAGATAGATTATTTGTAAATATATTTCGCATAATGAAATAATAAGTTACTTTGTAACCAAGAAAAAAGTATGGTAAAAGTTGCCTACGATTTATATAAAAAGTGATTGAAATTGCATCTAAGCTGCGTTGACGATGCGTTGAACAACACAAAGTTTCGTACTATATTTTAATGTTTTATAAAATATTTTTTAACAAATCAAAATTTTATATTACTGTCGCGTATTACGAGTTTTCGAGCAAAAGCAGAAGTCATCTCTTGGGATATTCAAGAATTACCATGATAGAGCAAAGAGAACCACACGAAGAAAATATCTTCGTTATCCATTTACTTTGAATCGTTTTAAAGAGCATAAATAAAGTGTAATACGTTTTACACATGAATGCTTCGTAAAGATCTTCGATGAGAAAACATAAGTGTTTTAAATTTGCGATCTACTTCGCAGAGGCTTATCTCGTGCCGTTTCTGTATCAATTTATTCATATCAACATATCGACAAAACCGAGCGAATTCAACTTTCTAGAAAGTTTTCGAAATCGCTTGATCGGTGATATTATTCGATCTCCGCGGCTGTGCGTTTATTTTTTTCCGTATGCTAATTTTGCCAGAGAGAGAAAAGTGGAAAATTATATTTATCTTATTACGCGAACAGAATAAATGAACGTGACGAAGGTTTTATCGCAAAGTTTAGGATGATTTACAGTACCAGCTGTTTTTGTAAAATGGATTTCTCAGCTAACGAAATAGTAAAAACGCTGAACAAACGCTCAAGAGTCTTTTCATTTTCTTTGTCAGTCGTAAAATAAAGAGCACATTAAACCGTCATCAATTTTCAACATCCGTTAAACTTTCATCCTTTGATGGAAGAAATCAAGTTTCCATTATTTGCGCTTTGTTAGAATACGAAATTGGAGTTTTGCTTTACGATCATAAAGTTTTTCTTCTCAATTCATAGAACACGT